GGGGTAATTAAAACTCAGCATTGATTATGTAGACTGATTGAGGTAATTAATATCCTCTCAGCAAAGTGATGAACTACTCTAAGAAAGCATACTCGCTCACAACAATGCAACAATCTACATCCTTGATCTGCAAATTGCAGAGAGGGGAATGTGTAGGGGTGAGCTTGATTAGAACGCTTTCCTCATAATAACTTTCAGACACTTTTCAAATCACATTAAGTAAATGAGCACCGCAGATCGGTCGACTTTAATGCATCTCCATATACAGCTGGAGGAATTAAACCGCTCTCGTGATGATGGATATTGGTTGTTTTAGCCGCTTTTTTGGGGTTGGCTTGGGTAATCTGAATTAACATGCATTAACCTTTCCCTAAGCACTTCAGGGAACTCCATATTCAGAAGGGTCCAGCAGGCATAAACTCCATCGCCAATGAATGCATGGCCACCTGTTCTCCTCAACATGCGGAACGGACTCTGGATTTGTATTCAACAGCCTCAGACTGCACCAAAAGCTCGACGATTCATTAATCATTCAGAGGATCTGCAGGTGTAAGCCATTCACATGAACTATGACTGACTGTAAAAGCCGTGGACAGAAAGTCAAGGACGGTTCAGGAAGGCATCCATGGGGCACTTGTAGACTTGAACCAACAGGTTGGCTCGCAACCAGAGCATGTGAGAGATGAAAGCGGAGTTGTGAAATTCAGAAGCCCTGAAGCATATGCAGAGCTTTCTTTTTTCATTTAGTGGACTGTGTTCGGTTCCACTCCAAAATTGCAGCAGTAGCTCTCCAACACAGCTAGTAAACATGTATTCATGGCCAAAAAATGCAGTAGCATGGACTAGAGCAACACAGTGCATAAACTAAGGGAAATTAGGTTGCAAAAATGCATTGATCATCTATACAATAAGAAATAGTATTAAACTTACATTTACATTTAGTCATTTAGCCGACGCTTTTATCCAAAGCGACTTACAAATGAGGACAAGGAAGCAATTTACACAACTATAAGAGCAACAATGAATAAGTGCTATAGGCAAGTTTCAGGTGTGTAAAGTCTAAGAAGGAAAGCATTAGTAATGTAATATTAGTAATATATATATATATATATATATATATATATATATATATATATATATATATATATATTTTTTTTTTTTTTTTTTTAATTTATATTTATATTTATATAAATTTTTTTATTTATTTATTTATTTTTATTTTTTGGAGTACAGTTAGTGGTTTAGCCAGAGACTAAATAGTTGAGTTTTTAGTCGTTTCTTGAAGACAGCAAGTGACTCTGCCGTTCTGATGCAGTTAGGGAGTTCATTCCACCAACTGGGCAGATTGAATGCGAGAGTTCGGGAAAGTGATTTTTTCCCTCTTAGGGATGGAACCACGAGGCGATGTTCATTCACAGAACGCAAGTTTCTGGAGGGCACATAAATCTGCAGAAGTGAGAGCAGATAAGAAGGAGCAAAGACAGAAGTCGCCTTGTAAGCAAACATCAGAGCTTTGAATTTGATGCGAGCAGCAACTGGCAGCCAGTGCAAACGGGTGAGTAGTGGTGTGACATGTGCTCTTTTAGGTTCATTAAAGACCACTCCTGCTGCTGCGTTCTGAAGCATCTAAAGAGGTTTGATAGAGTTAGCTGGAAGCCCGGCTAGTAGGGAGTTGCAATAGTCCAGTCTGGAGAGAACAAGAGCTTCAACAAGGAGTTGAGCTGCATGTTCAGATAGGAAGGGTCGGATCTTTATGATGTTATAGAGTGCAAATCTGCACAATCAAGCAGTTCTAGAAATGTGGTCAGAGAAGTTTAGTTGGTTATCAATCGTTACTCCAAGGTTTTTACCATTTTGGATGCAGTAATGGTTGCCCCATTCATCTGGATTGAAAAGTTATGGTGTAGAGTCGGGTAGGCAGAAACTTCAAGCATTTCTGTTTTCGCGAGTTTAAGCTGAAGATGATGATCTTTCATCCAGTGTGAAATGTCTGACAGGCAGGCTGAGATGCGAGCTGGAACCGAGGGATCATCAGGGTGAAAAGAGAGGTGTAGCTGGGTATCATTAGCATAGCAGTGGTAATTACAGTAAACTCAGTAAATCACATCAATAATCACATCAATTATTCAAAAAGTCTCCATCCATCCATCCATCTACAGTATTTTCAACAGCTTATTCAGGACCATGTTGCATGGGCAGCGGTCTCATGAGTAAACCCCAAACTTCGCTCAGAATCATTTTCCAGCTCCTCCAGGGGGATCCCAAAGTGTTTCCAGGCAAACAGTGAGACATAGCATGTACTGGGTCCTCCCCAGGGCCTTCTCCAAGTGGAACAAGCATGGAACACCTCTCTGTGTAGGCGTCCAGGAGACATTCAAAACAGATGCCCGAGCAAGGGCTCCCAGAGTTCATCAAGATTCTTTGGATTTATCTTCAATGCCTCCTCCTTCATCTTAACCCAGACATGCTCAATAATGTTTATGTCTGGTGACTGGGCTGGCCAATTCTGGAGCACCTTGACCTTCTTAGCTTTCAGAAACTTTGATGTGGAGGCTGAAGTACAAGAAGGAGCACTCTCTTGCTGAAGAATTTGTACCAATAGGTCTTCTGCAATATTTGTGATGATTGGGAAGCAGTTCAACAGATGATTCATCAGAACTTTTCCAAATGACAAACTACAAGTCAAGTTATTATTTGTTGCTTCTTCAATTGGGGTAGTGTATTCACAATGTCAAAAAAGGATCTTATTATTGTTTAGTGTTGCTAAATTGGACAATTAATATACAATTCAAATGATGTCACATGCATGTGATTATAGGTTGTTTTAGAATGTTGGTCATCTAGTCAGGATTACTGAACCATAACTACTCCCCATGTCCTGCAAAATCACTGTAAAAAACAAATGACGTCAATACGGATGACTAACAGAGACATAAATCATACATACTGTAAATCTGAAGCAGAGAGACCACGATCAGGAGAGCCAGAAATAGGTCAGGATGAGCCTTTGCTCTCTTTAATACATTCAACCCTTTCAATAAATGATAAGTGTCAATTTCGAGACCTCCAGCGTCTCATAAACTCATGGCAGGGATCAGTCTCTGCAATATGAGCGCAGATTAAAGTTTAAATGGGAAGCTCACACCGCACCTGGGGAAAATCCACGACCACAGACTCTTGGCAACAGCAGTGGTGCATTCTGGGAGATACTGGGATGTTGGTTTTTCTTTCTGTGACTCTTTGACAATGCACAGCTACGTAAACGGCATCAAAATCAGCCTCTTCTACATCCGACTCAACTTACTGGAGTTTACAGTGCGCACACTCTTAAAATGCTAAGAAGCTACTGTAAGTTCAACTCAAGGGCAGGATATACTTAAAGCACAAGCTGGTGTGTGCCAAAGATAGCTTCTTTTTGGGTTCGTTTGAGGAGCTCGTTAAATCCAACTTTCTGGAATAGTTTTGCTCTGGTTGAACTTTGAACTATTGATGCACTGTGATTATGCTTATCACCTTCCAATCTGACAGCAACATGCTTAATCACAATTCTGCTTGTTTGATTATCATTGAGAATAGCAAATATTTCTGAAGCATTTTTTTTTTTTTGGCATAAAATGCTTTGTAAAGTTCTGAATCCTAAAAGTTTTTCAATTTTTGTACGTTCTCAAGTTTAAATGAACAGTTAAAAACAGATTTACTGTAATGCAGTGTGAATCTGTTGAAGTCAAGCAAAGTGAAGCTAACAATTTGTTGATATATACAGTACAGTTGAGGTCAGAATTATTAAACTCTCTGAATTATTAGCCCCACCTGTTTATTTTTTTCCTCAATTTCTGTTTAACGGAGAGAATTTTTTTTTTCAACACATTTCTAAACATAATAGTTTTAATAACTCATCTTTAATAACTGATTTATTTTATCTTTGCTATGATGACAGTACATAATATTTGATTAGATATTTTTCAGGACACTTCTATACAGCTTAAAGTGACATTTAAAGGCTTAACTATGTTAATAAGGTTAACTAGTCAGGTTAGGGTAATTAGGCAAGTTATAGTATAATGAGGGCTTGTTCTGTAGACTAACAAAAACAATATATATATACACATAGCTTAAAGGGCCTAATAAATTTGAACTTAAAATGATATTTAAAAAAATACAAATTGCTTTTATACTAGCCTAAATAGAGCAAATAAATAAAGCAAATACTGTCTAATAGTGTCTAAAAATTCTGACGTCAACTGTATATATATATATATATATATATATATATATATATATATATATATATATATATATATATATATATATATATACACACATACACACACACACATATATATACTATTATATACATATAATATTCAAAAAAATTCCAACAGATGTTAACCCAATGAGAGGCACTGTGTGGAACAAACCAAACCAACCAGCCAGCCCAATGTTGACTGACGTCCTCATGAAGCCCAATGGTTGACTCTCAACTTTTTTATCCCAGCTTTTAGAAAAACTAGTGTGTTGGAACAGGACAAAACAGCACAACACAGGCTCATTATGGATACCCCTGTTCACATTTCTTGAGAGCGTGAATTATGTAGCCAGAGGTGCATTTTGTCTTTAAAATGAACATTATGGGGCGGGATGATGAAGCTGACGGCTTCGGTTCCTTTTAATGCTACCAGCTGATTGCTTACCCCCATACGAATGGCTTTACTGGTGTTACCAGTTTGCTCAGTAGCTCACCACGTATGCTGAGGGACTTCGGATAAAGAGTTGAGTTGACTGTAATGAGGGGGTTTGAGTCTGGCGAAGAACGATTATAGAAAGTAGGTAAAACACGCAAGAGATATTTGAGGTGATCAAAAGCTTACACAGCAGCTTCTGGTGAATTTGCAAAAACTGCGAGCAGACGTACCTCCGGTTACGTATTTTGCTGTCCCTAGAAATGTAGACCTGGGTACATATCCGCAATAAGCCTGGGTGTTTCATACAAATGTTCATACCTTCATAGAGCCAGTCGGTGAGGCCATTGAATATCACACCCTCCTTCCCGGTAGAAACCAGACGAATGGATCTGTTCTCCACTGTGGCCCGGTAGTAGATATTATTCTCGAATATAAAGATCTAGAGAAATAAACACAAACACAAACACAACGCAAAATCTGACAGATAGGCCAGGAGGGCTGTACTGCTGATGACAATTGCAGTATGAATGGAGAACTAATTATTTTATAATTATTTTATTTTTATTAACAGGTCATATAATGAAGTTTTTATTATTACATTTCCCCCCCTAAAGTCCTTTTATAATGGTAGTAAGTTTTGTTCGCCCTCTCTCTGACCCCTTTGCAGATGTAATACTGATTTCATTTTTTGTTTGTGAATGTAAATGGTCTGCTACTGATCACATGCTGACATTCGGTCAGGACCCCTCCTCTTCGCTATTTTATTTTTGGTTTTAAGACATATATGGTTGTCTTAAATGAGAAACCTTTGGTGTCTGATGGCTGATTAAGATCCGCTTTCCGTCATATCCAAAAGCACACTTTTTCATTGTCAGCCAATTCCTTTGTAGGTCATAAGGGCTGATCCTGATGTTCGTTTTTGGGTACATTGGTAACATATATATATATATATATATATATATATATATATATATATATATATATATATATATATATATATATATAAACTTTACAATTAATCATTATAAGACAATAACTGTAGAATATAGTTTTAGAACAACCGGGACATTATTACACTGTGAAATATACTGGGTTCCACACTATTGATTTGTGCTGGGACAACATGAATTAAGTTAACATTTTTTTTACTTTCCGTAATATTCAAGCATGCTTTAACTTTCACTATCGACATGAAATGCACATTTTCCTGTAGGAATGACATCCTGCCCTACTCATCATTCTCTCTTCATACAGTATAGCTGTATATATGGTCATTACATAACCATTACACACTGTGATATAGCCTGGTTCGTTAGTTCATTGAATTGTGTTGCTTTCTCACTACAATCGATCCACTCCAGAGTTCGTTTCAATCCAGCTGAGACCACCTCATCCAGGCGATCTCGAACCAGTTGATTTGGCATGGGTTTCACATACGCCAAACGAACCGCACTAACTGGCCAAATGAGACAGGTTCCAAAACAAAAGCACCTTAAAACAATTGCTGTATGTTAATTATTAGTTTCTATATTTTGTGATTCACAGGGTTTTTGCATTTATTTACATTTGTGAATTGCATTATGGGATAATGATCTTTGCTCTGTCAACTTTTGGGGTTGAAAAATTAAACTCTACAGTTTAACAAAGTGACTTTTAATGACATTTTAGTAGTTCTAAATAATATAAATGTATAAAAAAATAATATATTGAGAAATAAAATCTGTGCTGGCAATTGTACTGGCATTTTATTACAAGGTTTTTGTACCAACCCACCAACCCAAGCAATATATCACTTTAAACTATTTTAAAAGATGTAATGTCACTTTTTCAAACTTTTTAAAATTAAAAGTTGTTGAAAGAAAGATCAAGGGCCAATAATCCAATTATAAAGCATAAATAAATGGGGGAAAATAAATCATGTTGAAATTATTATTATTATTATTTTTTTTTACAGTGTAGTACTATTTAAGCAGGAATCTTTTTTTAGTTATCGTTGTATTTTTTTTTTTAGTCATAAGTTCAGCCACCATTCCAATCTTTTCTTAATCAAACACATCAATGTTTTGCTTGCACATTCTCTATTTAAAAAGGAACAAATTACCCATTGTTTTTCTGCTAAGCTGTAGTCCTCTGAGAAATCTATATTTCCAGACAGGAATGTCTGTGATTGCAGTATTGTATTGTTTTCCCTGTGATTCTCATTTACTTTGACCTTCGTCGGATGCTGTAATTAAAGCTAATTTACTTGTTGTGCTTCCTGGTGCAACTTTATTACACATTTTTTTGCCAACATAAAGGGTAAAAGAACAGTTTGTGGTTCTAATTCTGCTACTAATTAGTTCCCCTAATGATATGAATACATATAGTATATTACATTTTGTTTATTTATTTTTTGCAGTAGTGCGCTAATGCTAATGTGATGGACTCTAAACACTCAGAACTCTAATGAATCAATTTTATTTAGGGTTAATGTTGGGACAGTATGGAAAACGCAAATAAAAATAGAAGGTAGTGATTACTTTGACTTGTATTTCATTGCAGACCATACAACAAACATCGTTAAATGTATTCCTAATGTATGAAGAAACCAAGTGATGAAGTGTTTTTAAGTGTAAACAAGTCTTAAGGTGGGCAACAGTATGAAACCATCTGTGCAGCAATCCACCAATTAGGCCTGTATGGTAGAGTGGCCAAACACTCCCCGCCTGGAACTTGCCAAAAGGCATCTGAAGGACTCTCAGACCATAAGAAACAACATTCTCTGGTCTGATGAGACTAAAATTGAACTCTTCTGAGTGAATTCCAGGTGTAACGTTTGGAGAAAACCAGGCACATCATTAGGCTAATAGCATCCCTACAGTGAAGCAAGGTGGTGGCAGCATCATGCTGTGCGGATGTTTTTCAGCAGCAGGAACTGGAAGACTAGTCAGGGTAGAGGGAAAGATGAATGCAGCAATGTACAGAGACATCCTAAATGAAAACCTGCTTCAGAGTGCTCTTGACCTCAGACTGGGGCGACAGTTTATCTTCCAGCAGGACAATGACCCAAAGCACATCGCCAAAATATCAATGGAGTGACTTCACAACAACTCGGTGAATGTTTTTGAGTGGCCCAGCCAAAGTCCAGACCTAAATCCTATTGAACATCTCTGGAGATATTTGAAAATGGCTGTACACCGTCGCTTCCTACCCAACCTGATAGAGCTTGAGAGGTACTGCAAATAGGAATTGGCAAAAACTCACAAAGACAGGTGTGCCAAGCTTGTGGCATCATATTCAAAAAGACTTGAGGCTGCAATTGCTGCCAAAGGTTTTTTAGGTTTTTTATTTTTGATAAACTTACAACAATTAAAAAAAAAAACTCTTTTTTCACATTGTCATTATGGGGTATTGTGTGTAGAATCTATAGGAAATTAATTTAATCCAATTTGGAATAAGGCTGTAATATAAATAAACAAATGTGGTAAAAGTGAAGCGCTATGAATACTTTCCGAATGCACTGTACTGTTCTTACATGTGGATTGATTGCTGACACATAATTTTACATATTTCTTTTGATATAATTAAACAATGAATATCTAATTTTCGGTCTTCAATTTAAAAGCTAGATTACAAATTTTAATAATTTAATAAGTTTCATTTAATTTTAAGCTAGAATATTCTGTATAAATAAACGTATACAATATTTCAATCACACCTAAATTAAACTAAATACATTTAGTCAACTACATCTCGAGTAGATTTAGTTGACTAAACCCTATGATATTTACTCAATTAAAACTAGACAAAGTAAATTGAGTCAGAAGACTAAAATATGACAAACTAAAATGGAATTTTAGTCAAAACACTAAAACTAAATCACATTTTATTGTCAAAACTAAAGCTGCTGTCACACTGGGCTTTTTCTCCCGTAGACTTCCATTCATACGGACGCGAATGCGTCAGACCGGAAATGTGGGGTCATGCATCAAGTTTTGCATGTTGCTGCGGTGCAAAGTTCAAGCTTGGTAAACTCTGACCTGCGAAATCGCATCACTTGACTGCGTGAGACCAATCAAGGATCAATACATGACCTCTCTGGACAGTAATTTAAAACATTGAGCAAATCTCTCACTTTTTTTTAATGTCTAATCATTTTGTTTAATCCTGCCCCTTTTCGCAGCGTCTTACGACAGGATTTCGCACAAACACAAACTCTAGCATGACCGCAGCTTAACACTGCTTGGGTGCTGCTTTTGTACAAAATTTTAATTACAATCACTTGTTGACATCACCTGTTTCAAATCATTATTTATCCAATTTACCTAATCACTAGCCCACTGTTGCAACTGTTTTTGGAATGTGTTGCAGGTCTGAACGACAAGAAAGGATGTATATTTACAAATGAAATGAAGTTGACCAGACCAAGGGTCCGTTCTTCGTACCTCGCTTAAATGATCTAAGATTATTTGGCAGATCCCGGATCTTTTAATCTTGATAACTGATCTCTTGCTAATTTGGTTCTTCAAACGAGTTCGCGAATCAGATTAGAATGTCTGGATAAACCGATCTGAGATCGCTGCGTGTGTTGTGAAGGACAGATCTATCGATCCTCGAAATCATGATCAGCAATGCAACGATTGGCTGACGGCACAGCTGCGTAATGACATCATCTGATTAATATTCAATTATCCATGTGAGCAAAATTACTTCAAATTAGCAGTAAACGGTTTGTTAAATATGACACGCAAGAACCTTCCACATTTGTTGTGAGCTGCAGGCTTTACACTTTCATGTGTCAAGTGTATTCATCATGTATTTCAATGCAAATCAATGTATTTAGTTCCACATTTAGAAAAGATTTTCTTTATTATACAGTAGTAGCCGTTTTTTAATCGGTGTAAAGAATAACTGGTTGTTTAAAAAAAGCGTTTTCATATTGGTAAAGGTGTCTGCAACTTTTGTGAAGCATCAAATCACCGGCATATTAACTATCAAAACATGTTTATGACTGCATTACTGTATTATTGCTTTAGAAAAAAAAAAAGTCACATATTGTGCATTTCTATTATACACAATTTGTACTAAAGCGATCTAAAAAGTTCATATCAATAAGTTTTCTCTTTGCACCACCAGGTGGCAGTCTTTGTACTTTCATTTCGAGGGTGCAGATTGCATAAGTTTTATCAATATGTATAACTTAATTTATTTTATTAATGACTATAACTTTATATATATATATATAGTTTAAAAATATGTACCATTTTCCCAAGTGTATATAACTACTACTGTAAGAAAATCAGAATTCGGAACATACTTTCTGTATTATCTTTGCTTGAACTGAGCCGATCTAATCCTGTTTATATGAATTGAACCTGCTCCCGATCAGGTTTGACCTAGCAGAACTGTTGCTATGACAACAACTCTCGGATCAGCTTTGAAGAACGAAACGATCCTGAA